TTTGGAACCTACTATTTAATCCACTGAAATCAAATTTATTTCTATTTCTCTTCCCACTAAATCATTAAATTATTACTAACCATATATTATTGTTTTTTTTTTGTTTTTTTTTTAATTGTTGACTTTCTATTAATAAAAATATTTGTTAATTTTTTGTTCCAATATACTCCAAATAAAATTAAGATCTATTAACAGAAAAGAAAACGGCTAGTGATATACTCCCATGTTAGATATAAAACATTGTATGAGTTCCGTGACTTCAAAATGTCACTTTGAAGCCTTTTGGCTGTAACCCAATTAATTATCTGTATCCCTAAAACGAATTCAAAAGGGAGGAGACTAATGTGACTATCAAGTCGGCTTACATATATTTCATTATGTCAGTAAATTTTTTATTGTACCATCTTGATATGTAAATCCTGATATAGCTTGACGTATATAACTTTGTGCTTTATACGCAAGACTTCTGAAGTAACTTTTCTGCTCTTAAGTTGACACGAACCTCATGAAGGTATCTATAAATCTAGCTTGATTTACAAAGGTTTATTTGAAGTATTAGAAACCGTAGATTTGTTTTAAAGCAGTAGCTAAACTTTGAGTCAATAGAGTTGTAATCATTTCAGTTCTGTGTTTATTATTGAAAAAATATGTTTTATATAGTAAAGATGAGATGTTTGGGGAAGTGTATTTTTAGATATTCCAAGAAGGTCGAGAAGCATGTAACTGTCACAACAATTTCAACAAATATACAAAACGTTTACCGAATACAATTATTATTTCTCTCCGCCAAAATCTGCACACTTTTCAAGTACAAACATAAACCAATTATAAATTATTATGAAACCATGATAATACAAGCACGTAATTTAATTTGAAATATAATGAATTATTTGTGCCAACTGTTTGAGAATTATAAATTTCATTTATTATGTTTAAATGAAGTTTATGATTCAACTTAAAATTCTCAAACAGTTGGCACAAATTATTTCCTAAATATATCAATTTAAACTGTAAAATATAATTTATTTTAATATATAGGAAGTTCATATAGAAATGTTGTGCATTTGTCTTCTGCAATTAGGTGAATATAGTTAATAAATTAATGCATCAAGTAATGCAACTCGTACGTGTTGGAGAGGTTGTGAAATGTAACACCGTCTATAAATTATTAACGAAGATTGTCTTACTTCATATTATTAATGAGGATATACATTTTACACATTATGATCATTTTAAATGCAAATCTAAGTCTATTAAATGCAATTTATTACCTAAATCGATAATATTAATGGGGAAGACAAGGTGTATCGTCATATTAAGTTTATATGTTGAATGAGGATATAACTGCAAGACATAAGGACTTTAGAACCAAGTTTAAGTAAAAAATCATAATATCTATAACTCTTTTTACAGTACACAAACTTAACATATACATTATATCGACCAGTATAAATAGAAAGTCGAAGTTACTGAAATGAACTCTGGATAATTGTTAAAAGTATTGAAAAGTAGATAATTACAGATTGCAATTTTGAATTTACTTCAAAAATTAATGCTGCCTTTTATAGTAAAATAAAATGAGATAATTTAAAACAAAGACATCTGGAATAATCGCTACTGGTATAAATGTAGAACGAAATTTTTCAAATAAATTTAAAAAATAAATTCATTATAGCTAACATACCAGTGACGACTGCTCTAAGGTGCGGAGGTGTGCGGTGAACACCCTAATATAATTTGCAAAATGTTAAATAACATAGGTATATAAATTTATTAAGTATCTTTACATCAAGAATTATTATTATTTATTACATTTCCATATAAATATATATTTTTAAAGTTTTAGCAAAAACAATTAAATATAATTGTCTATGAAAACTCAATTAATTTGCTTCTGTTAGCCGCTATACTTGTTAGTTGTGCTCATATATTTGCAGCTCAAATCACAGAACATTTCTATTATATTTCGTCTCTCCCCTTTGTGTGCAAAGAAGTTGGCCGCACATTCATACGTTGCATATGAACAAAATAATGTGCGTGTGCTCCCGTTCGTAATATCAGAGATAGAGATTTATATAGTGGGAATTGTATGAGAGTAATTTTCTGTTCTATTCGAATATCAACTGTATGCATACGAATCCAACATTATGATTTGCCAAAGTGGTTGCATGGCGGCTGAAGTTTGCAGCTCATCTCACCATACATTTTTATCACATTTCGTCTCTCCCCTTTTAACAGCAGCACCCACGAATTTCTGTTCTTATTGTGCGGGGTACTTGTGCGCACATTGCAAGTGGTTTCGATTTTGTTTGATCACTGCACAAACATGTATGTTTCTAAGTACAAACTCTTTTGTTTGAAAAAATTTGGTTTGATGTTACGAGAATTATGTGAAATGTTTTGTTTCTTCCATATTGATATAATATTAAATTTGTATATAAATTATTAATTTAATTTGTTTAATATGTTATTTTGTTAATGAATTGTTAATATAATATTGCGCGAATATATTGTTGCCTTATATAATATAGTTATTATTAATAAAAGATCTCATATATTTTAATATAAGTGGTACATGTAAAAACAACATTAAAGAAGGGCCGCACACCCTTCCAGATAGGGCACGCGTCGTCACTGTAACATACATATAAGGTAAGATCGATCTGTAATGGCATCCATCAGAAATATAAAATCCATGTATATGTAAGTCACAAAAAGCTGAGATTCATCTAAATATCTTGAAATTTTGACAGTATATCAGCGACATCACTACAAACACCTATTTTAGAAAAGTCTGAATTACTTTGAAATCCGCCATTTCTTCCAACTTTATTCGATTGATTCGAGATCATTCAACCAGATGTTCTAATGCTGAATTAATTAAATATATCCTCTTAGACAAATGTAGTTCTTAAAAGATAAGAATAAATTTTGTTAAATAAATATATAACATCTATTTTTAATTACTGATACTATTTAAATATTATAAATTATAAGAAAATTTTGATTTAATAATCACTAAAATGATTTAAATTTAAATTTCTACCTCTTACGGAGCAAGAAATATGACCTAATAAAAATACATCTAATATACAAATTTTTAAAACCGTATCTCAAAATTATATTAAATATATAGTATATATAGAAATATATATTCTTAAACCATAATTTTTATTGCACAATATTAAATGAGCCCACACAAAAAAGTACAGTAAAATCGAAGATAATAAGGTCAAAAACCATCATGTTTTTAAAAGAATAATCAATATTTACTTTTTAAAAAAAGTTATAGATAATTAGCTTTCGAAAAAATAAACTATTTAACTTTTTATTTCAAAGTTTAAAGAGTAAAAGACAAGTTTCAAATTATTATGATATAAAAATAAAACTTTTTAGCAGAAATAAGTGAACAATTTTATTTCTAGTCCTTCTAGAACCCTGTCTTCATTTTAATTACAGTATTATGAAACTAATACTTTAATTTCTTATTTAATTAGCTCCCATACCCTGTAACCGGCTGACCATCCAACGTATACTACTACATAGATGCCACTATCTCGTACGTGCCTTCTCTAATCTCGTACATTAAGTGAGATTATTTCAATTAAGAAACAACCA